GTGTGATTTCATATGTGTGCCAATTAGTTCAAACCACACCCTAGGTGCAGTCAGTTATCATAAATCAGGGATTCACCTCCCAGGAGTGGCCAGCAAGTCATCTAATCGGAAAGCTCATATTCTGGAAATGGCTGTGACAATCTCTTTTGTTACCTTTTCCCTTTATCAATACCACCGACTTTGCTAATTAGTGCAATGAGTTTAGAAATGGGTTTTCATTGGTGATATATGTGGGTTACTAATTAGCATAATGGATGTTAGAAAAAGACTCTTACTGGGAAAATTAATGCTGTGTGCAGTATGTGGACTGATTTAAATATTTTAGAGAAAATCCCCACACTTGCAAGGACCATGTCTGAGAATCCAGCAAGCCCTGGAGTCTGTGTCTTCAGAACTAGTGCCTAATGCCTGATCTCTAAAGGGTCCTCCCACTGCTAGGTTGATCATTCTGGTTACATGATGCTAATTAGAAGGGAAACATAATTCTGACTTGTAGAATATTATGGCATGCAAAATGGTTCACATAACAGACAGAGATCTGGTTCTTCATTGAGGTTATAGAACAAGTTGTATGAACTGTTTTTACCCTCTTATTAATACATGCTTGCTTAATAAGTCGCTGTATGTGTAGAGCTGTATTAATCAGGGCTTTCCAGAGAAACAGATCAAATAGCATGTGTGTGTGTGCGTGTGTGTGTGTGTGTGTGTGTGTACACATATATTTCTATCTATCTTTGTTTGTGCTGCAATAACAAAATACGTGATACTGAGTACTTTATAAAGAATAGAATTTTATTTCTCATAGTTCTGGGGGCTGGGAAGTCCAAGATCAAGGTGCATCTGATGTCTGGAGAGTGCCTTCTTGCTGTGGCCTTACATAGCAGAAGGGAGAAGGGCAAAAAGGAGTAAACACGCTCCCTCAAGTCCTTTTACAAGAGTACCTAATCTCATTCACCTGAGGTGACTCAATCACCTCCCAAAGGTCACCCCTCCCAACACTGCTGTGTTGGCTTAGGTTTCAACACGAATTATGGAGGGGATGAAAACATTCAAACTGTAGCTCACTCACTCACTCTATCAAGGGATTTATTTTAAGGAACTGGTTCACACAATTGTAGAGGCTGGCAGGTCCCAACTCTGTAGGGCAGGCTGGCAGGCTGGAGTCCCAGGGAAGAGTTGATGTTGTTTCTCTAGACCAAAGGCATTCTCCAGGCAGAATTCCCTCTTCCCGGGGGCACCTCAGCCTGTTTTCTCTTAAGGCCTTCAACTGTTTAACTTTTTAGGTAAAGCTCACCCACATTATGAAGGATAATGTGCTCCACTCACAGTCTGCTGATTGAAATGTTAGCCTCATTTAAAATATATCTTCACATCAATATCCAGACTGATGTTTGACCAAATATCTGGGTACCATAGCCTAGGCAAGTTGACACATGAAATTAATCCTCTCAAGCACTATCTGGTCTGAGTTCCACTTCCACGTAACCTGGTAGTGAATGTGTAGATAAGCAGCTTAATCTGCCTTGATTTCCAATCTTTTGTAGTTTTTGAGCTGCTATCATTTATCAGAAAGAACCTAATGATTGTGCATTTCTAAATTGGCTTACAGCACCAAGTGATGGTGTCAAATGCATGCTTACATGCAACCATGGTCCTGTTGAGTCTCTATCGCAGCTCTGCACATGTTATCATTTTGGTTTTCAGCTGGAAAACCTGAGGTGTCGGTGTTTGTGACTTGCCCAAGGTTACAGAACTCTTAATTGGCCAAGTGGATGCCCCTTCCCGTGATATGAGCTTGCTCCCCTCAGCTAGCCCTTGCTCGTCTTTTCATACTTTACTGAGGAGATGTAGAAAGTGGCTCCAGAAAGGAAGCAACTACCTGGAGGTGCTGTGCTGCCTCACTCTTGGGGTTGCCTAGTGTGCCCCTTCCTGGCTCTTCTTATGTACCTTGGACTCCGCTATGGCTGGCCACGGCCTACCCGAGACCATGAATGCTGTCTACTTTGGGCAGCTTTTGAAAAGCACTGCTATCTGGGCCTACTTCAAACCCATTAAATAAGAATCTCTGGGAGTTGAGCCTAGGCACTGATATATTTGTAAAATCCACCTGGGTGATTCCAATGTGTAGATGGGCTTGAGAACCCCTACTCTTTCCCTGCAGACCTCTCTGTAAAAGGCCAGAGGATAAATGCTTTGGCCTTACAGGCTGTGTGGTGTGTTGCAGCTACTCGACTCTGCCCTTGGGTAGGAAAGCGTCCATTAATTATGTACAAGCTGATGATCATGCTGTATTCTAGTACAACCTTATTGACAGAGATAGAAATTTGAATTCTATGTAATTTTCATGTGTCCTGAAATAGCATTCTTATTTTGATCCCCCCCCCCATGCTTTAAAATTATAAAAACCATTTTAGCTCAAAACAGGCATGGACTGGAATTGGCACATGGGCAGTATTTTGCTGACCTGTGCTCTATACCATTGTTGTCTCTATTGAAATTTCCCTGGCCTGTCTCTCATTCTCTCAGCATCCTACTTATTTCCAGGTGTCAATTAAAGTATTTAATAAAATAACCCATTCTGGTAATGCAAGACTTATATCAGCTTCCTCTGAAAATATGCATTTTAACTGAGGCTTCTGGTAAGAATTCCTTACTTAAAAATGTTATAATGATCAAATTATTTTTGTGCAGGGTTGAAGAAGTTCAGGATAAGCCACTCCAATATATGGCACTTTGGAATATCGATTACTTTGAGATGAGAACACTTGAAAACCAGCAAACACAGGGAGAAGCTTTCTCTGAACTTTCCTTGTCTGCCTGAGACAGATGTCCAGGAGAAACTCAATTGTCATCAGTCCCCTCCCTGGGATTTCATCAACCAGGGAAGATTGACTTATGTCACAGGAAAGGGGACTAGATGTGGTCACCACACCCAGACAAACCTTGTCACAAACTCTCACATCTCCCACCTACTCTTCTAAGGGCTCTTTCATCTTTCCTAAACAGCATTTATTCTCCCCCAAGTTGCATACTTCCTCCTACACTCTCCCTCGTGAAGAAGGTGCTAAATCTCACTGTTTTTATGGGTATTCACTTTTTTCTGTGTTGCCTCTGTGCGTGTGATAAACTTACATATCTTTCCTCCTGTTAATCTACCTCTTGTTAGTTTACTTTTTAGACCTGGTTGTCGAACCTCAGAGGGCAGCGGGACAGCCTTTTTCTCCCAGTTTGTTGGGAAACTCTTTTGTCTGGGAGAAGGTTTTAGTACAGGTTGAGTATTTCTTATCCAAAATGCTTGGAACTAGAAATGTTTTAGATTTTGGATTTTATCAGATTTTGGATTATTTGCATTAAAGTTACTGGTTGAGCGTCCCACATCTGAAAATCCAAAATCTGAAATGTTTCAATGGGCATTTCCTTTGAGTGTTGTATCAGCTATCAAAAAGTTTCAGATTTTGGAGCATTTGGATTTCAGATTTTTGGATTTGGGATACTCAACCTGCAATGTACCATAGAACCAAGACACACAGAGGAGAAGGGCTAGAGGGTGCCTGAGATTGCCTCTTTTTGTTTACATTATTTATTCATCCACCCATTCAATATATACTTACTAAATGATCTTGGTGCTACACATTTCTGCTCACAATAGAAGATTTCCAACAAATGACAGTGTCTTGGCTTTGCCATTTTCGAAAACAAGGCTTCTGCTTTGGATCAGGTCCCTAAACCCTAGGAAATGCTATTTATCCCTCTAAGCTCAGATCAGGAGTCAGTCCCTCAGGAAACCTCTGACTCCTCTCTCCTCCCAAGTGAATGGGTTAGTTCTGATCGGTTGTTTCTGAACTTGTCACCCTTCTATTTCTGCTCCCATTTTATTGATTAATAAATTTATTTGCCTTTATTTGTATCTCTTGCTAGATGCTTAGCATCCTGAGGGCCTTCTCATTCATTTCTATATCCTGGAGCCTGACACATAGCAGACGCTCAATAAATCTGTTGAATACATTTACTCTTTCAATGGATTTTTTGAGCCCCTACTATGTACCAGGCACTGTTCTAAATAGTGAACAAAACAGACAAAAATCCCCACCATCCCTGAGTGCTTCTGTTGTGATGGGGTAGGAGGTGGGAAACAGGTAATAAACTAACTAGGTGAGCAAATTGCATAGTATGCAAGAAGGTAGTAAGTGCTTTGGAGAAAAATAAATTGGAGTAAGGAGTGCTGGGGACTGGGAACGGGGTTGTAACTATAAACAGGATGGTAGCAAAGACTGAAGACTGGCAAGAGAGCGCCATGTTGCTATCTGTAGGGAGGGAGTCCTAAAGCCCTAAAGCTGATGTGTGTCCGGAATGCCCTAGAAACGGCACGAGGGCCAGTGTGGCTAAGAGTTGAGTAAACAGAAAAAAAATTACTTCTATTGCATTGATTTGAAAGGTGGACGCAGTATAATCCTTGCTCTCTGGAGACTTAGAGACTAAAAGGGAAACCAAGGCTCAGAGAGGATCATACAATACAGCTGTTTAGGATTTGATCTGGAGCCCCGGGGCCTGACCCCAATTTCTGCTACAGAGACCATTGCTGAGCCCCCACCTGGTAGGCACAGGTCCACAGGGAGATCAGCATCCTGGCCCCAGAGACGAAAGGTCTCGTTGTCTTGCAGAAACCATGTCCTTATATCCTGTCCTGAGCAAAATGGGAGGATAAGATACAACCAGACACAGGGTCCAGGGAGAGAGCGTCAGTCGGAGCTTTACCACTGCCAGCAATTTTGAAGTTGCCCATATTTCTGCTCAGGCAGGATGTTTTCTTGCTCTGAAACCTTTTAGCAGATGACAAGGTATTGCCCCGGGTGTATTCCAGAACACAAGTCTTTGCTAAAGTGGTTAGACAGCTACTTTCCTTCAAAGCCAGGGACTGCCCCGGGGGTGAAACCATTTGGAGAGCGTTTTATATTTGCAAAATGTTGCTCTGACATGTTATCATTTATTTCTCTCAACAGCTCAGTGAGATCGGAAAGCTTTCTCGGGTGTGTTTTACATCTGGGAGGAAGAGAAAGACAAGAAGCCTGCTGATTCAGTAGTGGTCACTATCATCGTCATCATCATCATCATCGTCATTTTCACCATCATTTTTGTTTGTGGGGAGGTACGGAAGAGTATAAAGCACGGCTCCTGCCTGTAAGAAATTCACAACTTACTTGGTTAGACAAATTCATTCATTCATTCACATATTCATCCAATAATGCCTTCATTCTGAAAACTTTTATTCAACTCTTGTTATGTTGTCGATAATTATTGGAGATCCAAGGGAATACCCCAAAAGTTATAAGGCATAATTCCTGCTGGTAAGAAAATGTACAGTCTAGGTGGGAAGATAAGTTTGTTCACTCATTCCTTCACTCAGATATTCATCTAATAATGCCTTCATACTACAGGCTTTTCTCGAGCTCCTGTTAAATTCCAGATAATTACCGGAGACCCAAATGTATACTCCCTCCCCTGGACGGGTGTTAGGAGAAGGCCTCACAGAGAAGAGAGCCTTTGCTCAGTCTTAAAGGATGAACAGGAATGTACGTGGAGGGCAGACTAGAAAGAGGATGCTTTGTTCAGGCCAAGCAAGCAGCAGGTGCCAAGAGGAAGAGTCAGGAAAGGCGTGGCTGTCCAGGGAAGTCCGTCTGGGGAGTCCAGTGCAGCCGGAACACGGAGGTGAGGGTGGAAGAAGCTGGAGGGAGGAAGGTTGGGACAGACTGGGCTGCAAGGCACCTTTTCCTCCAGGCAGCTAGGCACAGGGAGTGACATGACGAGCTATGGTTTTTTAGGAAGACCATTCCGATTGCTATGCAGAGAATGAGACTGGCAGGGGGGCAAGTCTGTGTGATCCTTCCAGAAATGACACAGAGCAAATCACATGGAATGCACAGTGGAACCGCCTACCTCTAGACTACCTGATACGTGAGCAGGATAAAGCCCAGCTTCTTTAGTTTAGGGATGCACATAGGGCTTTCTGATATGGGTTCATCATGACACTATTAAATCTAGCCCTCCAGAGAGGATAGGGCTAAAGATTGGGGTTTTGGAGCCATGGGTGTTTAGATGGAAGTGGAAGTTGTAATATCAGGTGTTATGGGAGCACAGAGGAGGAGACAGACCTAGAAACACAACTTGATAATAATGTGGTGAGAGGTAAAGTTATAAACGGGGCATGGAGGGGCATGCTTCTTCCCACACCTGATATTCCCTTGCATGAGAAATTTTTTTTTTAAGAATTTCTGAGAAACACCCTGGCATGTGCCCTGTTCTGCCCCTGCAGAGGTAGGGTGGGTCTGAGGCTTGTCTCAGCTCCATGAAGCTGAACAGATAAATCTGTCCATTCTGGGCTTCAGGATTAGGAATTCCGCTTGCTCTAATTTATGCCACACATTCTCCACTGTCAGTTTTTATCAGTGAAAAGATGACGCAGCGTTTCTCTGTAAGTTGACTCTTTAGTTTTATTTCTCAATTAATTCAGAAGTGGGCAGGGATGGTAGCTTTATTATTGGACTTCCTTAAGGAGTCAAGAGAACAGCCCTGATGCTGGCCTTGACATTATTGAGCCATTGAACTAACGCCAGCAACCGCCTACCTCTAGATTACCTGATACGTGAGCAGGATAAAGCCCGGCTTGTTTAGTTCAGGGATGCGCATCGGGCTTTCTGATACGGGTTCATCATGGCACCATTAAATCCAGCCCTCCAGAGAGGACAGGGCTGAAGATTGGGGTTTGGGGCCATGGGTGTTTAGATGGAAGTGGAAGTTGTAATATCAGGTGTTGTGGGAGCACAGAGGAGGAGCACCGTGGAGAGTCAGGGAAGTCTTCCTGAAGGAATGGTCATCTTAGCCATCAGATTGAGAAGAGAGCAGATATATTGGAATAAGAGAGTGGGGATTTGGTGGGGGCAGGATGGGGGTGGGCAGGGCTGGGGTCAAGGAAGCAGGAGGAGCAGTAAGTGCAAAGGAGGGAAGCTGGTAACAGACACGTGCATGTTTGTGACTGAGCGTGCATGTGAGGGGCGGCTTCAGTATGGACAAATGGCGAGAGAGAGGTAGGCAGGGGCCAGACAACAAAGTGACTTCCCAATCTTGTGCAAGTAATCACATGAGGAATGACAAAGACTTGAACTAAGATCCTGACAGAGGAGGCAGAGAGGAGAGAACTGATCTGAGAGGAACTTCTGAACAGGCAGTGCAGAAGGTGATGACAACTTGGATGATGGCTTGAGGGTGACAGTGTGGTCTCAGGAGAGTTACAGATTTCAGGGCAGACATTGCTGAGCCCTGTGACAATACCAGGCCCCCACATCTTCCTGGCTAACAGCACGTGGCTGGTGCAGGGTGTGTCTTGCAGCGAGGGGCCGCTCTGTCACCGGGTTCTGAATCCACCAGGTGCTCTGGGGCACATGATGTTTTTCTTCATGAAATGGAAATGGACAGCAGGCAATGTCTCTTGCCTCTTTCTTACTGCCACATATGCAGTAGCTTCTTTGAAGCAATAAGCAGGAGAGAAACTCAAGAAAACAGCTTTGATGTTGGCCTTCACATTATTGAACTGTTGAGTGGATGCCAGCAACTACTTACCTCCAGACGACCTGATATGTGAACGAGATAAAGCCCCGATAAAGCCCTGCTTGTTTACTTCGGGGGCCTACACGAGGCTGTCTGATAAATTGGGGGAATGCATGCCTAACTGAAGCAGGAAGATCATGGCATCACTAAATCTAGCCCTCCGGAGAGGATAGGGCCAGAGATTAGGGTTTGTGGGTCGCCTGGATTTATGCCAAAGGGGAAGTCATGGATGGGATGACTATAGAGTGGCAAGTGAAGAATCCAGGGGCGACTGACTTTTTGGGAGTTGGGAGACTGGGACAAATGAGCGAGGGGGGTCAAGTGTGGGGCCTGCCGAAGGTAACAACGGATGCCAGGGTGCTCTCTCCCTGGGCTTCACGGCATTCATTCAACACTTGCTTACTAAAGGACAATCCTTTGCTCGAGGACTGGTGGCAGTTTGGGAAGCAATCCGGGAATCGGGCTTCTTGATTTCTGGAGATCCCAACCTATTAATAGCATTTCCCTGTGTAGGGGAGAGAGCATTTCCCTGTCCCACTTCTAAATGAACCACCAGGCAGGGGTCTGTGTACATGGTCCTCGTGGAATTCTGCACTGGGTAGAGTACAGACAAGATTTGATGCTGTTTGGCCTTAAACAGTCCAAAAGTTCAACTTTCTGGTATCTAGGACTCTTTGGAAAACTCATGAAACATAAACAAGTTGGAGATGTCATTAGAGTTTCCTCCATAACTGGTAAAAGTGAGCAGACTGCAGTGCCACCAATAATCGTTCTTTATGGAGCAGCCCCAGCCTCCTTCCCTTCTTGATGACAGGACTGGGAGGAGGTGGCCGCAGTGGAAATCTCCCAGGTGTCGGTACTCAGTTCTCCGGGAGGCAGAGCAGCGCTGTGGTCGGAGAACGCTAGCTGTTGAACCAACACGCCTGGACACGAGTGCTGAGACCTGAGCCTGATTAAAAGGCTTTCTCTATGAAGTGGGGACAGTACTAATCTGCACTGCATGCTACTTGGCACGGAGCTCCGTGGTCATGGGGCATTAAGGTCCAGCCCTGTTTCCTAGAGCTTGACGCTGAACAAGTTCAACCACAGCTTGGCAGTCTCAAATTCAATCTTCTACTCTGTCTTCAACGATCTGTCTGATGTTTTGAAGGTCTCCTTTCCTCTCAGGGCCTCACTCTCAGTTTCCCCCTTTGTAAAATGAGGCGCATGACACAGCAAATGATTCCCTCCGGTTTGCATTGCTCAAGGCTTCTTTCTCTGTTACTGTCCGTTTCAAATTCTGCGGTTTATAGTTTTTATTTTTGCCAGAAGGTGGTGCTGTTGAGTCCTTTATGTTCTTACAGAGCGCTCTATGTTTGCTTCAAGTTCTGGGAAATCCAGGTTGGCTCCGTCATCAGGTGCTTTGAATGTGAACTTTTGGTCGAGGGGGTCTGCTTGTGGGTCCTGACTATTTTTTGCCCCTGTTCCGTCCCAGCTCTGCAAACCCACGCTGCAGTCTGGTCTAGCACATTTCAAGTCTCAGCTCCATGAGCCTCAGTTCAAGGCCACAGAAGGGAGGCTGGGAGCCTCTGGGCCATTCCAGGGCGTGGGGATGGCAAAGTTTAAGGGTTAGTCCTCAGAGACCACGGCTGGTGCAGGTGACACCTGAGGTTAAACTAGCTGAGGGCCTTGGCAGAAACAATGTTTGGGCTTGACCAGGACTCCCAAGACCATTCCCTTCCCCTCACCCCACACCTGCGTGTCCCCAAGTCCCTTCCACCGCCCGCCTGCTGGAGCTACTTCTCACTATTTGAACTCTCAAGTCTACTTCTCCACTTCCGATTGGAAGGGTGAGACTTCAAACTGGGCCAAGTGTCCTCACATCACCCTGGGTTCTGGTGGGTTGAGGGTTCGGGTGTCACTGCCCTCCCTTGGCTGTCTCTCTTCAAGAGGCAGGGGCTGTTGGTGGTGCAGCCACGCTGTTGCCCATCAACAACAGTCACCGTCGCTTTCTCTTAGACATGTAACGTTGATAAGAATGTGGCTGTCCAGAGAGACAAAAGGCAAGTGAGCATGTGTGATCCAGTCAGAAGTGCTCCTCACGCGGGGTCCAGATCACAGGGTGCCTGTCTTCCCCAGCACCGGTCCTTGGGACTCATCGACCTCCCTCCCCTCCAGGAGCTGTCCCCACCTTCCAGGTCCCCTGTGCTGTGGACGCACTCACCCCTCACGCCCAGCTGAGGAACTCGCCATGGTCAGACCACCCTGCACATCCTGCTTCCCACTAGGACGAATCTTGGGGCTTTTGGGTTTCAGGGTTTTGCTGTGGATCACTTGAGAGAACCAGACAGCTGACGCCTTCAAAACAGCAAACAAGTCAGAGCAGAGACAAGCTCTGGAAACGCAGGGACAGGGTGGGACTCCCGGCGCTGCAGCTGCTTGCAGGTTATTTAATTTCTCTGTTAAGCACCAGTTTCTTTATATGTGAAATGGATAATAGCATCTACCTTATGGGAATAAATGAGATAACTTTGAGTAAAAACAAATGATTTTATTGAAAATTTGCTCTGTTCTAGGTCCTGTGTTAAGCACCTTATAGAGCAGTGTTGTCCAATCAAAATATAATGTAAGCTACATATATAATTAAAAATTTTTATTTTAAACATTAACATGTATGTTTTCATGTATAAAATAACATGTATGTTAACATTGACATAAACATTTTATATTAATAAAGTGAAAAGAGATAGTTGAAATTAATTTTAATAATATATTTTATTTAACCCAATACATTATCATTTTAACATGTGGCACCAACAAATGTTCAAAAGATACCTATGGCTAGTGGCTATCATATGAACAGTATATATGCCAGCATATGGGCAATATAAATACCTTATATGTATATTTTATAACTATATTATATTACTTGTATAATATATAACCCATATATACTATATGTATTTTACATTTGCATGCAATGTTTTGAAAGTTTTGTGGTAAAATGAGAAACACACACTAGAATATTACAGTAATACTTAACACTTATTGGCCATTATGTGCCTAGGACCACACCAAATAGTCATTTATATCAACTTGTTGAAACTTCATACAAATTCCAGAGGCCAGGGTGGAAGGACTGTGAAGAGGGATACGGAAGGAGGGAAAGCCGATCCCCTGGGTACATTCTTGAGACAGTTACCACTGTGGGCAGCTGTGTTACTGCTGTGGGCAACTGGGTCTTGCTCCTGCTGGGATGCTGCCTTGGAATTGTTCCCCAGAGACATGGAAAACCGTGTCTTGGTCTTCACTGGTCATGTAGAGTCCTGGAGGTGTTAACACCTTCGCACTTCCGGTTTGCACGTGCACCAGCGTGGCTGAGCAGACCCCAGCGCACAGCTCATAAGGTGAGAGGCCCAGGCAGAAAGCAAGAGCTGCCTGGTGCAGCAGAAGGGAGATGCTAGAGCTTATTGTTAGGACAGTAGCCAGGGTACAATGGCAGCCTGAGGATGAGAGATGGGGGTCAAAGACATCTGCCACATTGTGTTGCTGGTACCCAGCCCAAGTGGACTGTTGCAGGGGAGGGTTGCCAGGGAGAGATCTGAGTGTGGAGGAACCGGAAGTTATTCCAGAGTGCATCTCTCATGACACAGTGGAGAGACCCTCTAGGGCCTCCTGCATGTGCCCATGAGACAGCCAGCAATTGGGTGCCCACTGCTCATAGCCCACAGCTGGCCTAGAGAACACCTGTCAAGTAAAAAGACTTTCCCTCTTTTCCCATAATTCCCTCTTCTCTCCACCCCTGCCCTGGAGAAGCTAGAAGAGGTGGAGGAAGAAAGGATGTAGCCTACCCCCTTCACCCCACGTTCTTCAGGCCAAGACACGGCAAGCAGTGAGAGGAGGGGGCGGTGTGAAGGCCACATTAATCAGGACACTGCACTTTCGGGTGGACTGTGCTGCATTTTAATATTTAAAAGCGACTGAAAAACTAAGGGATGTCACTAAGGGTTGGAAAAAGGTTGCAACTTTGAAAGCAGCAATTAGAGGGAATAAAAGTTTCACATTTGTACTTCACCAGGCATAGACTGTTTAAGCAAGGGCCACATGATTATTTAGCTATTTATCTCTTAGGACAACTGAATAAGCAGTACTTCTTGTTCTTGGTGGCAGATTCCTTCGTTTAGGTGGCATTAGGTATGTATGGTAGCTGCAATGTTAAGTGTATTTTATGATGGTGGTTTCAACTTCCAATGCTCTCAGGAGCCAAGCAGGTGGCATACATGAGGGAAGCAGGCCTGATTGGGACTGATGAACCTCAGAGCTCATGCCCTACTCTG